TTCCAAACACAATTCATTTTATTTCCGCTAACTTGTTTGACTGTATATTTTTCTATTGTCTATGTATATGTAATGTAAAATAACAAGTAAAGAAACAGTTAACTACTGATGAAATTGTAATGTTAACCATACATTGTAGTACTCTTAACTATATGCACGGATAGTAATTGTCCGTCCTCTATGGTAGAAATCTTTCTTGTTATCTTGTGTTTAATTAAACCCCAAGAATGACGTAATAAAAAGCGATAAATTAAATGCAACTTCTTAACATGAAGAGAGTTTCCCTACGTAAGATTTCAATCAGGGCACTGCAACCAATAATTTATAGCATCGTAGTATACGCCCGAACCATTACATTTATCAGTTAGTTACTTTGTCATATTTTCGTCTGTCGCCCCGCAAAGTGAAAATACGACATGGCACAAATCAGCCACCATGCATAATGTGTTTTCCTATATAGTCTATATAAACATAGTCACCACCAGGGTGGGACCAATTTGGACTCTAGAGGCATAAATTAGAGGACCACAAGACGATATGACATGTCAACTATCCAAGCTTCTGGCATTCTAGTTTTATTGACAAAACTGTATTGCAATAGAAATAAATGAAAAAAAAATATCTTTAATTTAAACATGTTAACTAATAAACAAATATGTCTCATGTAAAATCAAAATGTGCCAACATTTTAATGTAAGAAAAGTATGTGTCCAATGTAAATAAATTGGTCTGACATCATAATGCGTTTATACTATGCAGTAAGATAAACAGCTGGTAAATTTAAGATACAAACTATTACTTAGACCAGCAAGCAAAATGAAATGAGCTGACATATCCCACTGTTTGATATTGATATACTGGTATATCATTCATCTCTCACTGAATAGTAACACAATGATATTAAAGGCACACTATGCCTCAGAAATGAATAAATATTTACTTTAGAGAGGTCAAATATTTAATTCAGTTTTATAACGTTAAATGAATGATTTGCGATGTTTGTTAAGTGACTAAAATAGCGCTAAATGCAAAATAATGTCATAAAAGCAACAAAATGTCAATAAAAAAGTATTTTGACTTCCATACAAAATATAACAAATCACTTACTATTAAAAAATACCAAAAATAAAAAAACAATTGAGGTATAAAATGAAAGCGTTTGTGTATGGAGTGCGTTCATTGCCAAAATTCCAGACATGTTCGACCGTCCCTTGTATTTGTGTTTTTGACAAACTGAAATTGATCTCTGTCATTATGAAAATAAACCATATTATTTGCAGTGCACAGATACTGTCAAAAATGCTAGGTATACACGTTTGCATGTTCAAAAGTAGTTTACAACAGGAACACTTTACATGTCTGGAATTTTGGCAACGAACGCCCTCCATATTTGCGAGGCATAATGGGCATTTCAAAACAATTGAAAGTAAATCAATTATAATAATTGTTGATATTAAGTCATATTTATCAATACAGTTGGTGATTTACTAGTCTTGTCATAATCTATTAAATGTCACATCACCAAACCTTACTACTCTAGGCCTAAACATTTTCTTCTTGTTATTGGGAGGAGGGGGTGTGGTCAATCTGACGTGTATTTGACCTTTTGACATTGAAATACAAATGTACATATATATATATTGGTCATCTACAACACATTACAAACCTTAATATTACATTGTATCATTGTATGGCCAAACGTTTTTTATTCATGGCTTAGCAAGGTAAGGTCCATTGACAGATGAGACAGACATGCAGTTTTAATTAAAAGCAATATGTTCCTACTTAAATAATTCAAGTGTGTTATGGCTGCTGTGCATTTCATTTCTGAGTGTTATGAATTACTGTGATTGTGAATGTTCAAGATATTGATATGGATAAAAAAAGGGTATTTTCCATATGAAAAGGAAAATAAACAAGATGTAACAGATGTGCTTTGTCATTATTAGGAACTTGGCAGTATGCCAAGGATGAGAACAATATTTTGTAGCTTTCAAAAATTTTCTTTCAAGTTAAGACATGGGGAAATTATTGCATTCAGGATAAATACATGTACAGTAATGCCCCTTGTCTAACAACTGCCCCATAAGTTATGATAATCTAGAATTCTAAGTCTTATTGAGGGACACCTTTGACCATTTTGAAGCAATTCTATTTAATAATGTAGTTTTGAAGAAAAAAATTAAAAAGGGGCATAACTAAAAAGTTAAGCTATCAGAAAAATGCCCCTTGTCAAACAAGAGCCCGGTTTGAGCCGGGTGATGCTCCCAGAATAGGTTTTGGACACAGGAAAGTACACCTCTTGTAGTTTCAGAGTTATGTCCCTGGAAAAAGTTCAAAGTGCAACAATTCCAAAATTAAGCAGAGCAGAGTTACTGTTCTTTGCACTGCAATTCTAATCAATGTGATCTATCAACCTACAAAGTTTCTTGATGATAACTCTTATGATTTGCGAGTTATGTCCCAGACAACTTCAAAAAGTAAAAATAAACAAAAGGCAATAACTCCAGAATTAGGCAAGGCAGAGTTATGATTCTTGCGCACTGCACATCTACCAGTTGAGATATATCTACCTACAATGTTTAATGTTGATATCTCTTATAGTTTTAAAGCTATGTCCTGGACAAGATTTTTCTAAAAGGGGAAATAATTAAAAAATGAGGCTTAACATCTACCCATTAAGATCTATTCACCTACAAAGTTTCATGTTGATATCTCATATAGTTTTAGAGTTATGCCCCGGACAAGATTTTCTTTAAGGGGAGATAATTCAAAAACCAGACAAAATAGAGTTATGGTTCTTTGACACTGCACTCCCCCTCAATGCCCTCTACCACTGTATGAAGTTTCAACAAATTATCTCCAAGGGTTTTCAAGTTACTGTATGTTCTGGACAAGACAATGGACGGACAGACGGACGAACAGACAGACGGACAAGGCGCCGACTATATGCTCCCCCGAAATTTTTCGGGTTAGACTAGCATGTCAAGATTAATGTTGATATAACCTTTGAAAGGGCTGGAGTAATATGCACAGTCATATAAGATTTAGCACGACAACAACTACAACAAGTACAGGAAAACAGACAACCCAGCCATTGTAATAACTTGACTTGTTATCTGATACAGAAAAATTTGTAAATTAAAAAGATGGCGAGTTTTATAAAGATTATATTAAATGAATCGTGTTTTAATAACTAGTTTTACCAAGATTTTTATTAAGATGAAATTATTGGTCATTTTCTTTTAATAACTTTTCATGGCAGTTATATTTTTTTAATAAAATTTAAATTGTACTGTCAGATCTCTGCCAAGCCCCCAGGCAGTAGATTAACAACTGGATGGCAGCAATTAATGTTCTGATAAGGGAGTACACTACGGCCAATAAAGTTTGAAACTAACAAAAATATATTCCAGCCCAGCTGGTAAACATATCTTTGGGCCGAGCTGGGGGGGTGGGGGCTGCAGCCCTGAAGCCCGGGCCTGAATCCGCCACTGACTGACCTCTTTAGTATCTATTTAAGTGGATTCAATGATGGATTTATTTTTTGTACAATAAAAAGGCAGTATTTTAATATCACTTTACTTTGGAAACTCGTCTATTATTCAATTATTCAGATGAGTAAATTGATCAAGTGTTTGAAATTATTCTTATCAACAGTCGAGCATACATTGATAAGTATGCTGTTATTTTGTGAATGCTTAATACTAAACACCAGGAGAATTCTATTTGAAATACCCTGCAAACACTAACCTGTAAAACCATCCAAAAGGTACCATAAACAGCACTAGAAAGTCAAGGAAATAACACCATTTTCAACCTCATATATCAAAATTTTCTCAGTCTATGGGAGGGGACACCAAAATATGGTCCGCCCCGTCCAAACATACTGTCCGCCTTGTACGGTCTGCCTAGCCTCACGGTCCGCCCTATCCGTAATTCCATTCATTATGCTACTGACAATCCATGCATTTGTATGTTGAGCAGATTGTACCAAGAATGGGTTCTGCTTGTGTTCGTAAGTGCAGATTATGAGCAAGTGTTCAAAGTAAGTAAAAGACAGTTTTACTCAAATATCGCTTAAGAAAACCATTTATATGCACCGTATTTTATGCACATTTACATACCAGGGGTTGTAATTTTGTCACAATTTCCATTCATTCATTATTTATTATTTTCATAGAGAATGATGCGGTTGTGCTGCGTAAAAAATTAGACTTAACGCCGTGTGAACACCTGATATTTCTAAAATCAAAATTTCACCATTTTGTTGAATTATGCGAAGATAAGGCCCTTCGCGACTTTTCGCAATTTAGATTATTCGAGGGTTGTAATAGAATGCGAAATGGACTCCATTTCGCGAAATGAACTTACCGCCTACGAAATGGACATTTGTTTGTTTAACCATGATGAGTAATATTATTTTTATTAATTTATGTCAAACATATGACATAAAACTACAGATTGAACCAATTAAAATTACTATTTTCCTATTTTATAGTCATATTTCTGAAAATAATCTGGCCTCTACGAAATGGAGTTTTCGGCCACGAAATGGAGTTTTCGCTTACGGAATGGACATTTGCTTTACAAATTATTGTGTAACTGACATGTCACAAAGGGTATCTTTTCTATTCACTAACGTTTATTCTGGGACGACAAAAATATTTTTGTCCCAGGTTAAACATATGATATAATATAAAACAGAATATTTCTATTTGAAAGACCATGTATAAAACACTGAACTATGTGGCATTATTATACGATTTATATTTTCAAATGTACAAGCATAAATAATGAAAAAAATATAAACAAAATTGTTTAAATAATAATTTTATGTCATATATCACTTGTTCATTATTAAAAATGTTATTAAATAGTACACTTAAACCAAAATTAAAGAGACAAATGTCCATTTCGTAGTCGAAAAATTCATTTCGCGAAATGGCGTCCATTTCGCATTTTATTACTACCGATTATTCGATTAATAATTAGAACTCGAATTTATTGAATTTGCGCACGTTAATCAAGCTCGCCAAATTGCAGTTAAAAGAAAGAAGAAACATGTGTTATATTTCATAGAATATCAGTTTATTCCGTTGCTGCAAAAATAAAAAAAATGTATTCTTTGGTCAAGTTACCACTTGTTATTTCGCGCTGCTGTCTAGCGAAATCTGTGAACATTAGTAAAATCTTATACCCCACCATACAAAAACGATACTTCGCAGACAATTATCCCGGCACTGATGTTGTACCTTTGTGTTCACCGTACTTTCACCTAAAAATGTTTGTATATACTTTTAAAGACATCACTGTAAATTTTCACATTACAAAAAAGTTTCGTTACGGAGCAATGGATGCTTTCCTGTACATATCGGAGTGCTTGAATAACAAAGATTATCACAAACTTTCTGAAGTTATGGTACCAGAATTAATACAAAAATTAAATAATGGGGAGAGAATTGTATCAAGAACTACAAAGGCTGATGTCTTCCATGTCAAACACATTTGGTTTATGACATTATGTGATGTACGTGTGACTGAAGATTTATATGTGATTGAAAACAGGGAAAAGAAAATAAAGTGAGTCACTGAGTGCTTTCTTCACCTAGATAGTTGTCCAAATAATTAACAGTGATAAAGGTCATTTTGCAATCTCCTGGATTAGACCCCAATGCATATTTCAGATCCTAGAAGTTTCAGCCCCCTATTTGCCCTTTTTAAAAAATAAAATAAAAATTTGTCTACAAATGAGAACAAAACTTTGAAAGATCAAAGTTTGGTACCTGACCAGCATTCCCATGCAGGGCCAGCTTTTTTTTCACTTTTGGGGCAAGGGGGTTGGTGACCTTTGGAGGGGGAAAAATGCAATAGGAGGGGAAATTTTATTTGTTTATTTATTTTATATTGTTTTCTTTCCAGTAGAAAAGGGAGGCAACTCCTGTAACACAAGGTTAAAATATGTCGCTTTTTCTTTACATACGGATAAAAAATATTGATGCATTGCATGTTAAACTTGTTGTGACGCTGGGAGTACGAGGGTTGTTCAAAAAGTAATAGGACTGCAGCTCTACTGATCACATTTTTTCATCTATGTACACGAGTTTCCAAAAATCGAATATCGGAATTTGTCCTCTATATACAGTGAAAAAATCATTACAATATGTTTAAAAACAACAATTCTGTACAACTTACAAATGACAAGGGGTACGCAACCCGGCGCACGCTAATTGTTAAATAAATGACGTTCATGACGTCGCAAAATAAATAAAAATGCAAACAGCGTCATTCTTTCTGAAATTATTCTCCACAATGTTCTAGGTGCTTGAATCATGTAACTATAACCAGAACTCATCTGTGGAGATGTAGCGAAAAAAAGCAATCACATTTTCATTTCTTTATTCAAAACATGCCCGGTGGCCGGTAACTTTCGGTTTGATCTCGTGATTTTGAGTATTCTGGAAGCTAAAAGGGCATGGACATGTAATGTAAATGACAAAGTGATTTATATTATTTATTTACACATGCCATCTTACATTCTTAAAACAATATGATAATGTACAGTAAATTAAAAATGCTTATTAATTGAAAAATATTCTCTTCTTCTGAGCACAGGCTATCATTTATTAAACGAATTCGAGAAAAATTGATACCAATAATTACCGCGTATCATTATCAAATTTATTCAATGATTACACACACACATATATATATCTAATAAAACAAAATAGTGTTTAAAACAAATTTCCCCTATTCAATAATTTTCTTAGAACTGAAACAGTATACCCGATGCAAACATCAAACATGCCGGACAGTTCGCGGGCTGTATATCGCCGATACTTTTGTAGCGCTGTTGCAATTAACGTCTCTAACGTCATTCAATTTTCCGCTTTCTCCCTAGCCCTTTCGTGTCTGTGATCTCATATTCAACGTCTTTGAACTGCTTTCTACAGCTGAAAACGAGTGTCCTAATTGCCTAATTATTGTTCTGTGAAAATTCAATCTTTTCATACGTAGTTGAAGGAGTAGGGCCTATCTGTTGGCAAAATTTAATGATAGTACACATTTTAAGTTTTTAAACGAACGTCATTTTTCTGCATTTAACGCGATTATCACTGCTGTTCAAAACGTTATAGTTTAGCGATTTCTGGTTTGAATGACATCAAATTTGAACAACATGACACTTTAATATGATACAATGTGTTGGTGAAATATTAGGGGGAGAAGACAACATATTACGAATAAACTGAAAGTACAAATTAGCGTCAAAATATTTTTGACGCGCTGCGCCGGGTGCGTGTTACCATGGTTATTTAATACCACAGGGAACACGCGTTTAGCGCAATAATTCAATAAACTTATGCTGAAGTTGTAGAAAACAATTAACTATTGCCGTGGATATAAAAATATTTAAAATCTAATGGAATATGGAGATATAAGACTCTTAGTCCTATTACTTTTTGAACAACCCTCGTAACTCCCCTTACCTACCCGAGAACAATTTGTAAACAACCTGGCTTAGCTGTAAGTCTTACAGGCATAAAATAAAACATTTTTCGGTAGTTTAATAGTTGTAAAAAAAAATGATATTCATTGCAGGCAAATTCGGGCTGCTGTATAGGCGGAAATTTCAGCTTTGAGGGGGGAAAATATACTATATTGAGGGGGGAACGTGGCCGAATTAGTGAAAACTAGTTTGGGCCAGTGTAAATTTTAAGAAAATTTAGTTAAATATATATATAGTAGAATAAATTCAAAACTGGAATTCCGGCCAGTAAATTCAAAATCTTTAATTAAATGACTGGAATTGCAATTTTATTCATGTTTTTTTTTTTTTTTTTTTTTCAGTACAATGTGTGTTCTTATACGATTTGTCTACTTAACCAAGGATTTACCAAGTAAAAATTTTGCAAAAAATTTAATGTACTTTATGGACAAAAAGAGGAAGAGTCACACATACAACTGCTACATGCAGTTCTATCGGACTTACGGGGAAAATGTAAAAGACTCCCAGTGGTTTGTTGGAGGCATGTTCTATTTCACACCACTTGAGAGACTGACCCTCTTTAGATGGATGAAAAATAAGTTTAATATGTAGTGCTTTTAAATATGATTGAAAAGACATCGAATTTCAAAATTTACTGCAGTTTTGTTAGATTGAAGCAACTTGTCTTCTAGTGACATCTTGACTGCCAACAAACAGGAGAAATGGTAATTACAGTGTTACAAATGTGAATAATTTTTCAAGACTTTTTATTTCTGTGCACATCTCACTTGATTCATCTTTTGCTAACACCAGTGCTGGAATTTGTCATTTTTCACCTTGGAGATGTAACATAGCCTTTAGATTATTAGGCTCACAGGTAATCGGATAAAGGAAACAAGTTTGGACCTGTTATATATAGAATCAGAAAGTACAGTCTGTCCCAGTGTACCAATAGCTAATGTTTGATTACTTATAGATACTTTCTCATCAGAAGTCACCAGTTTATTTGATGTACAGTGCCTTTGTTAGGCAAAAATATGTTTCGTTTGAGATTTTTGTACCAGTACCTATAATAATAAGTTGACAATGTTATGAGCTTTGGCAGGTTTTTTTTTTTTTTTTTTTCAATCAATCTACTTTGTATATTATTGACATTAACTGATTTGTCAAGCCTACAATTTGGAAACAAAATCAAAGTCAAAGGGATTTCAATAATCAAAATTGATGTAACAACTGTATAGCGTTATGTCAGTGCAATAACGGAGTAATTCCTTCTGAATTTAATAAGATTTAATCAGTTATTGCATCAAGGTGATGATAGTGGAGCCTGGTCCGACTGCCTAGAAGTGCAGACTGGCCGGTGCAAGATCCGGTGGCACTGTGCAATAAAAGAAAAATTAATGACCTAAATTAAGGTAGATATGTAGTATGTTATTGATGAAAAATTTTGAAATATTACTACAAAGATAGATTTTCTTTTAATACAAGTAAGGAAATCATACAAGTAAAGAAATCATACAAGTAATGTACATATTTTTGTTTTTGAAATTTTCAATACCTGTTAAAAATGATTTGTGTTTCATTTGATTTGTATTTTATTTGTTCATTTCATTTATATCTTTCGAAAACAATATAATTGATTAAATACAATTTTTTAGCTTGATTAAATACAATTTTTTAGCTTGACTATTCAAGGAATGAGTAGGACTGACCTTATACTCACCCATGCATCAGTTAAAGTTTTGCAATGCAACATCATATCTCATCAACCACTAATGAAATTTGATTGTAACTTCACACACATATTTGAAGGCATAATGGGAGACCCATAACTGATCTAGCTTAGATTTTGACAGAATTATGGCACTTTTTGAACTGTGAAAATGATTGATTAAAGTTTTGCATGCATGCCCAGGTTGACCCATAGTTTTTATGGACAAGTGAAAGTTTTCTGTTATGAATATTATAAGGACAAAGCAGACAAGTAAGTCAAAATCTGATTTCCCCGGCCCTTAGTAATTTTAATTGACAAATTGTTAAGTGTCGAGATTGAAAGAATTAGACATGGGCATGTAAGATATTTTACATAAGTGTAATTGTTAAAACATGCATTAATACACTTGTTACTATATATAGTAACAAAATTGCCCATGATTTAAACTAATTATGAGTGTCATGTGACCTATTATGAGTTTGCGGCCCGGGGCCGAGAACTAGTTATGAGCCCGCAGAACTAATGCACGTGCACAAACCGAAACAATGACGTCAGATTTTACGTCAACAGTTAACTGTAAAAGTGAAAGTAGGTTTTTAGCACGAAACGCTTGATTTTATTATGAGAGCTTTTAAAAGCGTATTTCGTACAAACACAGTTTTTTAACAATTGAAATTTAAAGAAATAATACCACAAATTCATTCCGAGAAAAAATGAAAATAATACTTGCTTCTAGATTCTAGTGTACTTTGTATACATAAAAAGTAAACAACTCTGTAGAAGTAACTGTACAGTAGATGTAGATCTACAGACGGGAATTTCAACGAAAGAAATATCAAAGTAATTTTTTTTTTGAAAAATGCTACTAGATCTCATTAGATCTACCAAGTGTATTAAAGACATTAATACACGTCATAGTTGTGCCAGAAGGTGATAATCGGCCCTGAAATGAATAATGCCCTCGGGCTGAAACCCTCGGGGGCCATTATTCATTTTGCGGGCCGATTATCACCTTCCGGCCCTACTCTGCCGTGTATTAATCTCTTAATAATTAATTTGGGAATAGAAATTTTATTCATATTTGTATACCATAACTTTGTATCTTCCTTGTATGAAAACATGTAAACAAGAATTTGACAAAAGTTTAACAAAAAAAGGTAATTGGAAAAGGATGGAGATGAAAAATTATTATCATACACATATATTGTAGACACATTTTTGATACTGTACAAACTTTAATGGAATTTTTGTCAATGTTTTTGTCCTGTACTTGGTACAGTATTTTTAAGGGACCATTATTAAGATGGTAATCTACTGTTTCGAATAATTGCTATTACTTTTTCAGTTAGAATTCAGAGTTTTATTAAATATGATAGAAAGTGGTTGAAAATTGGTGTTTTTTGTAATTGTCCTTATGTGTTGAAATATAAAGGATTTCAATAAATGATATTTTTAAGCCATTTATTGGAAGTACCAATGTACATGACTGTACATATTTAGGTCTGTCCTACTAAACCTGACTTAAATGGTGTCCACGTTCATGTCCAGATTTTGGTTAAAGTTTTTGTGAAGCAAAGTATTATTCACTATTAATGATATTTTTTTCATCATATTCGGGAAGGTTCATAATTTTAGCACCAATATTTCAATGATTATTCACCCTTGAACTTAAAATTTAATAAATGTTATTTTAATGCCATGGCAGTATCTGTAAAGCTTCTTCAAAACTAGAAGGGCTATCGCTTAGATTTTGGTATGAAATATTGCCTAGTCAACCTCTTCAAAGATTGTTCAAATATCAACACATTCAGGGTCAAAATTGATCTTGTCATAGATTTTATGTACATGTATAGTAAATTTTAAAATTAAAATTTTGAATTTAAAAAATATTCTGCTCCATAACCACAGGGGCTATATCTTAGATATTTGGCATGAAACATTGTCTTGTGTACATCTACCAAGATTGTGCAAATAATAAGACTGGTGTCAAAATTGGTCCTGCACCGAGATGGGTTTATCCTAATTAGATTTTTAGATTTCTATAAAATAAAAAAATAGGGCAGTGATGGCCCTTTATTGCTAACCTGACTGAAGCATAAATAATTATATGTTTGCTATGGAAAGTCAATGGTTACTATGGAAGTCATTGGTTGCTATAGAATATTGATGGTTGCTATGGAAAGTCAATGGTTACTATGGAAAGTTAATGATTGCAATGGAAGTCGGTGTTTGCTACGGAAAGTCATTGGTTGTTATGACATTAGTCACTTGTTACTATGGAAAGTCAGTCGTTGCTATTGAACGTCATCAGTTGCTATGGAAAATCAATGGTTGCTATGGAAGTCACTGGTTGCTATTGAAACTCAATGATTGCTTTGGAAAGTCACTGTATGCTATGGATGTTAATGGTTGCTAGGGAAAAGTTGTTGTTTGCTCGGGAAGTCTCTGGTTGAAAGTAAACAGTTGCTATGAAAAGTCAGTGATTGCTGTGGTAGCCACAGGAGGCTATTGCACTGGTTGCTATGGAAGTCAATGGTTGCTATAGACAATCAATGGTTGCTTTAGACGATCAATGGTTGGTATATCGGTACATGTAAGGAACATCCTTGACCCAACCTACACAACAAAAGTGTAACAGGGGTATACTGGAATCAGCTTGTCCGTCCGACCTTCCGTCGGTTTTCCTTGTCCGCCCAATTACTTAAGATTCCCACAGTCTTCATATTTAGTAATAAGATTGTTCATGGTTAGTAGGTGATCCCTATTGATTTTGAGGTCACCAGGTAAAGGTCACAAGGGCCTTGACTAAAAAAGCTTGTCCGCCCAATAACGTAAGAATCCTTTGACCCGCAGTCTTTATATTTAACATTGAGGTTAGTCATGACCATTAAATGACCCCTTTTGATTTTGAGGTCAAAGGTCAAGGTCATGGGCCTTGACTAAAAAAAAGGCTTGTCCGCCCAATAACATATGAATCCTTTGACACACAATCTTCATATTTGGCATGGAGGTTAGTCATGAACATGAGATGACACCTATAGATTTTGAGGTCTCTAGTTCAAAGGTCAAGGTCAGAAGAGCCTTGACTAAAGAAAGCTTGTCTGCTTAATAACTTAAGATTGAATTGACCAGTCTTCATATTTGGTATTTAGATTGGTCATGATAAGTAGATGACCCCTATTAATTTTGAGATCACAAGGTCAAAGTCACAGGCACCTTTTCTTTGAAAAGTTTGTACGCTCAATTACTTTATAATGCTTTGGTCAACAGTCTTATTAGAAGACCCCTATTGATTTTGAGGTCGCTGGGTCGAAGGTCATGGTCAGAAGAGCCTTGACTAAAAAAAAACCTTGTCCACCCAATAACTTAAGATCTTCATATTTGGGATTGAGGTTGGTTATGACAAGTAGATGACCCCTATTGATTTTGAGGTCAAAGGTCAACGGGGCTTGACTTCAAAAAGCTTGTCCGCCCAATAACCAAAGAATCCTTTGACCCACAATCTGCATATTTGGCATGGAAGTTAGTCATGACCATAAGATGACCCCTATTGATTTTGAGGTCACTGAGTCAAAGGTAAAGGTCACAGGGGCCTTGACGTCTAAAAGCTTGTCCACCTAATAACCTAAGAATCCTTTGATACACAATCTTCTTATTTGGCATGGAGTTTGATCATGGTGACCCCTGCTGATTTTGAGGTCAAAGGTCACAGGGGCCTTTTCTTTGAAAAGCTTGTCCGCTCAATTACTTTATAATGCTTTGGTCAACAGTCTTCATATTTGACATGGAGGTTAGTCATGACTATTAGAAGACCCCTATTGATTTTGAGGTCGGAAGAGCCTTGACTAAAAAAACTTGTCCACCCAATAAAGGTCAAGGTCACAGGGGCCTTAAGTTCAAAAAGCTTCATCGCTCAATTGCTTAACTAAAAAAATTATAAATAAATGTTACAAAACAACAATTTTTCACCAAAATTAGGTGAAAGACCACATGAAAAAACTAGTTTTTCATAATTTTTTGTTAACCCTTTACCTCATATATACGCGAAACAACGCACTTTCGACTCTCCCCCCCCCCCCTTTTTTTAGGCCTAAAATAGTGGAAAAAAAATGTCCTATTTGGGCCCAAAACATATGTTTTCATTTGAGAAATGTTGCTAAAACATGCAAAAGAAAATTTTGGACTTGTGAGAGGCTAAAAATGACCCCAGGTCGATCATAAGGTAACGTGTAACCAACGCTGAAGAGCCTTTGACTCTATCTCAATCCCTTGAGAAGTTGCAGCACTTTGAAATAAATTTTTATGGAAAAAATCGAGGCAAAATAGTGATTTTTGGCAATTTTGAGATGTCCCCTCGTTGCCATGGTAACAGGAATTTAAGACTGAGCATGTCGTTACAAAGGCAATGGTCCAGTCAACATTTGTGCCAAGTTTGATTAGTATTGAAGCATTTTTCATAGTTTCATAGCAGTTTGAACTTGTAACAGGAGGCTTATCAGTGAATAATTAGTTAATGACCCGTATTTATTTATAGGTCCCAGTGGCCAAGGTCAAGGTCACACATAGTGGTCAAATGTGTATTCGGATCATTTAATCATCATTTATCAAGGAATTGAAAAACAGGATGGTCATTTTCATGACAGCTGATGTGATACATGTGATTTAGATTAATATATGCAAGGTCAAGGTCAATAAAGATGATATTCAAGGTCACTAAAAATGATAAAATATAGAAATTTTGTCCAGAGCATATCTCCTCCACACATGTTGGGATTCGAATGAAACTTCATAAAAATGTTCACCATGTGCATTAACCAGGTCTCTAGGTTAAAGGTTATGGTCACTGATGTCATTGAAAAATGTTTGTTTGGAGCCGAACTTCTACATTCATCGGGGGATTTTAATGTAACTTGGCATAAGTGTTCACGATTGTGAGGCCTATTTTGCACATTATCCAGGTCCCTGCTTCCAAAGTCAACATCACGAAGAGAGGTCAATGTTTTTGTACAGGGAGCATTTAGCAGTCCTCATTTATTGATGGATTGTAACACAAATGATAACTATCATGACTATCCAAGTGTGACAAATGCAATTTGGTTACAAGGTCACTAGAGACAAAAATATCCAGATATTGCCCAGAGCATGTCTCCTATATGCATATCTATAATGCCCACATCTCTGTCAAAAGATTTTGTGACGGGCGTATTTTGCGACAATGTTGCCCTTGTTTTTTTCTCATTTTTTGCAATTTATGCGAATTGTAAGCATAGGCACTTGGTTTCGAGATAAAAAGCCTTTTGATTGAATGTAACGATTTTTAACGTAGATGTCTCGATGCTAAATTTGTCATTTTTCCGATATTACTGTGTTTTTAGTAATATCGGCAAAATTACGAATTTAGAATCGAGACATCTACGTTATTGAGTTCTACAAACCCTTCAAAAGGCTTTTTATCCCGAAACCAAGTGCCTATGATTGTAAGTGACGTTTGCCATGTGTAAATTAATAAGTTATTGCCTTTTTCACTTCACAATATTTGAATATATGAATAAATTATACTTGTTCAAAAAATACATGAATCTGGAGGCAATTGCAGCTTAAATATCTAAATATATTGAATATTTTTCAACCTCAGCAACTAATAAGAATGATTTTCCCCCCAGTATAAGTACATGATTAATTCATATTAATTAAGTGGTCCACGCGATAGAGCAAATATTGACTCAAGTGGGCATGAGGAACACTCTGGGTGTGATTATTACTAATTTAAGTCTATATAGACCAAATGATGCCACGTGAGGAAGGCCAAACTTGCTTTCTGCACACCGTCTTATTATTTCTAAACATGTCTGCCATGTAGTTCCAAATTCCTTCCATTGGTTCAAAATATACAAAGCTGCCAGCTAGACGGATTCATAAGCAGGTTGGTATCAATATCGGCCGGATTTTTTTTCGGGCATATTAAAAACTAACATTAATATCATCATAATTATTAACTTCTCTACACATTAATAATGTTGTACAGCAGGTTCGTTATGGCTGTCGGTGCAATCAACTTGTTTTTTGAAAGAGTTATACATGTACCTGTAAATTTTCTGCGAAATTTTGTTGTTTTTCTTCAAGGATTTATCATAAAAGCACAATTTTGTCAGCACCTTTAAAATTGTCTAAATGAAGGCATTTTACTTCCAATTCATTAACAAGAAAATAGAGAAAATAACAAAACAAATATGTTACTGCAAAATGAAAAATCACAAAATGACTGTAAATATCGTAACACAATGAAAAGTCTCTAAATCCAATTGATTCTGTAGAATAACCAGTTCTAATACTTTTGTGTCATCCCATGACCGTAACAAAGTGTAAACACCTGTCTTGTGGT